CCTCTCTCCCAATTTCGTCACAGCGATGTAAAGGTGGGCCGGAGAGAGCGTGCCAATAAGGCTACTCCCTGGCTCCGCCCAACGATGAGTCAGGATGTTTTTCATTCACTGAATCTAAGACAATGTGAAAGGTGGAATTATAGAGAAAAAAAACTTGCCTATGTCCTCTCCACCATTCCACTCAGGGCCACTGCGTATCCGACCGACGACCAACTCCTGGCAGTCTTTCCATTTCACTTCTCCCTGAACAAATGGAGTTATGGTATAACATATGCAGAGCGCCCATTAGCATGCTGTCATGCTGTGCCTTAATATTTGGAAGGAACATGGATAGATCGATATGTCATCGATCTCTAATTAATCAAAAATTAAGTTGATTGAAGTAGGATGTCAAAGTAGGAATAGATAGCAGACCCGCTCATGGCAGATGGTGATCTTGATCCTTCGTTGAATTCCCTGATGCAGAAGGAAGATACCATGGGTGGGTAAACCTTGAGCGTGATCCACCACAGCAGGCACATATTCACCACTTCCAGCCAACTCGCAAATTTCAAACCAAACCAGCAAGTCTGTCTTCGAACGAATCTGCGTTGTGCTGCAAAAAGAACCGATTAATCCCCTCAAAACGGATTCCTGTGCGCTTCTAGAAGAAACTGAAGTACTTGTTCTGAATGGGAGCGTTGGCTTTCTTGCTCTTCACGGGTGTGGAGATCACCAACGACGGCTGTTGGAAGGTGAGCTTCGTCGACATTCGACGACTAAAACTGAGGTCTTTAGCGGAGGAAGTTTTTCTGAATTTTTAAGCGGAGCTTACCCAAGTGCACTTAGCTGTCGCTCGAACTGGAATCCTTCCGGTTTCTGCTGGAAATGACCGAACGCCTGAAGAGACGTTTGCTTCGGAGACGTCACGCTCTTTCGGTTTCTGTGGTTCTTTTCAAGAGGAGAAATGAAATGGATGGCCGCCATTACCTCGAATATGATGGGGAAATGGTGCAGGTAGTGCAGGAAGGTGCGGCTCATTTTGATGTGCAGATTCTGTGAATGCGAGAAGGATAGTGGCGCTCGACCAGTGTTCTTCAGTGGCTCTGTGGAGAATGCCTCGTCGTGACGGTGTGAAGGAAACTGAAACTATTGTCATACAAAACTATAAACAATTCAATCTCAATTTTGACGAGATCTGGATCTCGTCAGGATTGTTCCCCCCCCCCCCCCTTCCCTTCCACAAGGAGATAGATTCCTTATTGTGAGGATGATACTGAGGATGGATGATGAAACGCGATAGGTTTAGCGTCGACCATATTTTTGCATGTCTATCCCGCAGGCATAATTGCTGCTCTACTTCAAGACAATAACCGATTTGAGAATAAAATAGTAGTATGTATTATTTGAGACGGACCCCAGCAAATCTTCACCTCATTCTAACCAGTTAACTTTCCGCGGCCTATGACGCGGTTGGTCTGCATGATCACCACATGGTAACATTTTTTCAGGATAAAACGGTTACGATCTTGGAACTCACTTTGAATTGACGAACACATCGGAGTACTGCTCGGAGACGTCAATCGCCTGCAACACCACCACTCGGAAACAGAACTCTTCATCTTCCCTCATATGGGGTGGGAACGTCAGCTGTTGACTTTCATCTGAACATGGAGGTTACAGTGAATTCATTATGTGAGGCGTATATTTTTCAATTTTTTTATTTTTTTTTCATATAATGGTAGGCGTAGATGGGATAACGGCTACTGGTCCGCTTCTCACGCGCCCAGTCTGTGGGTGAAATCCAAAATGGGCTACTGCTCAGGCACACCAAGCTTCCTACTCTCCAGCGACAGCCAAATTTGTTCCAGATCCATTCTGTAGAGCGTAAACATTGATGTGTACATCGGCTGATCCCCACAAGTCATTAGCCTTGCTGCACTGTACTATAAAGAGCACTACGAATTTGAACGAAAGTAGAATGCATGCCGCACTCCCAGGAGCGACTGATCAACGCCAAAAACTCCATCCTTTTATCTTTTATCCACGAAAATGTGTAAGGTTCCTCAAGCTAAGTCAGACACAATCATAATTAGTATGGGGGGTTTCGCATGAGTTTTTCAAGGGCTGGCGTATCAAATTGGGTAAGAAATTCGGTACTGAAAGAGGAATCAGCAGCTTCTCTTTCCTCGTACTCCTTCTTCCAGAAGAGTACATACGACCAGGGAGCTACCGGTATCGCCCCCCCCTTGCGTCAATTTACGAATTACATAGTGTTGAGCGCAATATTTCTTAAAATGCTTCGCGAATAGGCGAGGGGAGTGATTCGAGGAATCTTGTAGGTAAGAGGACGCGGAGGTGGGCTGGGGGGGGGAGCAGAGGAAAGTACAAGGACTAGAAGTTATTGCGAACAACATACGGGTATGAATGTTCTTATTAAATTCTCCTCGGATTCTGAGACAACGTGCCTATACTCGTCATCCGGGCACTTCATTAGGGCGGTCGTCAAAGTGCCGCAGACGCAGCTGCAGCAGCGACCGCGTACGAAGCAATTGTCGGCGGCGATCAGCTTATTCCGGCCTCTTTAGTCATTCCCTCCTACTTTTCACTGTTTCCGGCTACTTTTCTCAGGCTTGAAGTTTCTCTAGTTTTCGCTAAGAATCAAACATTTAAACGAGCAATCAAACAAATGCCCAGAAAATCTCAAAAACACTTCATCAAGAGAAAAAAAAGATCCACGCATTAATATAGACACAAAAACAACTTACCGTGAAAAAAAAATCACAGTGAGAATTAGGGAGAAAACTGCTAAAGCCAGGCTGCGAACAGCTGATCTGCAGCAGTCGTGTCGGCCCGCGCAGCGCGCTGGACATTCGACACCTAATGAACTTGCGCCGGATGACGACCGTATATAGTTCTTCAGTTTTAGTAATCGTAATCGTTTGAAATCAAAAACCCCTGAGGGTTAAAAAGCGACCGCAGTTTGCCTTAAACGGCAAAGACCACGCCAGTGCTAAGACTAGTGGTTACCTCCGTTCTCGCCGTTTCTGCAAGCCTTCAAGAAGTCCTCCCTCCGGAAGTGCAATTTTGCTGTCTGGCGAACGCCCTTCTTCTGCGTCTCGATTTCTTCTGAAACAGGTGGAAATGAGGGTTTACGAAATGCAATTGGAGATTGGTGAACTATGTTGACAAAACAGTTCTGAGAAAGCTCATCGAATTCAATATATCATTGCTGGATCCATTCATAAACGGAAAAGCTATATTGTTAGGTATTCTTGCCGTGTCCGATATCTTAGTAACCTCATCAGGAAAGAAACCCACAAGAACAGCCTTCTGGCCATGTTCCTTCTAATACTTGTCGGAGCAAACAACACCAAAGGCTATCGAAATTCCTAGTCAATCCAATAGATCGCAAATTTTAGAAAGTAAATATCTAGAAATGAGGAGAAACTCACGTGGATTGACAGGTTCAATGGCGACTTTCAGATAACCACGCCACATCTCCTTTCTCATTGACGATGGCAACTTTGTGAACCAGCGGCACATTGTGCAGAAGATTACTCAGGTAGACGAATGCCCTGCAATGATGAGAAAGATAGAATTCGGTGAGGTAACCGGTAAAACCAAGCTTACATTAAATTCGGACGCTGTTCGACTCAGAAGAGAGGGAGGGGGGGGGGGGAGAGAACGGCTCTCCACTTTCTTCAGTTCCTTTTGTAAGTTCATTTCAACTACGTAAGAATGCTTGTAGACCTGCGAAATGCTATGAGTGAACTACTTTGATTACAGGAGTTCGCAGATCTTTCCAGGGCGGCCTGTACAACCTTCGGTGAACCTTCACCTTCGGTGTGCATTGGGTGCCCCACTATGACGAATCGCGTCCAAGTGCAAAAAAGTGTTGTTTTAAGCACTAAAAAAAAGTTTTTTTTCTTTTTCCTCAAAAAAGGCACTCCTTCCTCGTAGCTGACTGGATTTCTAAGTCGTTTCAAGATGAAGATTGGTATTTCAGCTTTTACTTGAGAAAAGCCTTCATTTCCCCATGGGATTTTGAATGAGGCTGGAGCAGGGCACGCCATTGCGTTGTGATCATTTCCTGAAAAATACGACCCCCTAATTCCATCTTCAAGTACGACCCCCCTCCCATGTTACCCTAGATAGATTTTTTCCTAGATTGTTCCAACCTCCTACCACTTTGTCTATTTTTTCCCAAAAAATTTCTGGTTTTTTTTACAAAATTTTGCTGTCGAGCGGGGGGGGGGGGTCGCAGTACCTACGTACGTCCCAAGCACGTCCAGCACTCTGGCGCTGGTGTAGCATACTGACAATACGTACGAGGAAGGGGCGATGATAGGAGCTACGATCACCGCCACAAGGGCACCATGAATTTATAAACAAACGAAAAGGACTCACGACGTGACGATTAATAAACAGATGAAAGTACATTCCCGGACTTTTCTGATCGTAGGAGCACACATGCTTGCAATTGGGAAGCCCTATCTAGAAGTTACACCTTCCAAACACCTGCGTGAAAGCCCCATGCATGGCGCATTGCAGAGGTGATGCCAATTGGCGCCCAATGGCCTATTTCCTGATACCCTTTGCGAAAACATGTGTTTTAGAAGCATACCAAAGTCTTCAAGCCAACTGGAGGTTTCATGGCCTCGGAGGGGCTGATTTTTCGTGTCGTGGGGGGTGGTCACGAAATGATCACAACGGGGAATTTTTTCGAATAGCAGGCCTAGGAAGAAATTAAAGCCTTGCTGGAAAGTAGAAATCTTCAAGCTTCCGGCACATTCTTTTTTTACGAAAGGCCGTGTATGAAGCTTGCCATGGACGTCCAAAGCGTAGCGACTCGCGGTTCGCAAAAATGATCACAGACGGATCACAACGATGATCACAACGGGGAAAATCTCTGGAATCGGAACGTTTTTGAAATCGCTCAATTCAGGTGACAAGAGCCAACCTAGCTCTACTCATTCCCACTTACCCCTCTCCGATAGCTTCACTTTCAACGAAGTTATGGGTGTTCAAATGAGGGGTACTTTTCACGTGTTTGGCTTGAAATTGGCTCCAGGCCGTAAAATAGCGCGCACCAATGAGCTTGTATGAGCGCGCTGACCGCGAACAGCCAAAATTCAAAAGTAAATCCTGTCGGTTCCCAGCTGGCCTGGTGAGTTTTTTTCTTATCCATTTGATTGTTGAATTATTTTGATTGTTTGTTTTTGTTGAGTTTGATTTTGTTTTGTTGAGTTTTTTTTTGTTGTGAGGAAATTGCTCAGGATTCAATTTCTACGGTTTCATAGGTAGCTTTTGCAATGGATTCTTTTCTAGATTTTGCGGATTAGTGGATTGGGATTTATCTAGACCAGATGAGGAGGGTTGGTGGGCGAAGTGTCTTGAAGTTTTTTGTGAGGAAGGAGGAAAAAGTTTCAGCAATATTTTTTTAGTTCTTGGCCTAGGAATAGTTCGATAGTTCTATTTATTGTCATCTACATCGTCCCTTTTGAGCTTCTTTTCACGTACCGTGTATCACGTATCATCAAACTCTCCATGTGAAAGGGGAGGGGGTTACCGCGGGGAAACAAATACTTGGAGTGGGGATCATTTTCAGCAAAACCTAACAAAACGCGATAGTATGCCATTTGCGCTAATATTCTGCTACTACGCGTTATCGAAACTTGGATACCGCTAGCTTGTAGTTCTTCTGGGCATAACAACCGAATCGCTGGAAGAGAACATACACTTTGCGTCACTGCAGCAAGAACAGCTTACCCTTACCGTGTTTATGATGTCATATATTGTCTACCCGTTGTAAATAGTGTTCCTACAGACAAGGAGACCAAAAAATAGCATTGTCCAATGAACAAAAGAACCCACCTTCCAATCATTCGGAACCATGGGAAGCGATCGTAGAACGGATCGGTACCCATCAACGCCTCCATCATAGGATCGTCACTTGGGCTGAGCTGGTCGGCCTCATACATATCCCTCATTGACTCGAGACGCTGTCTGGAAATGTGCACCTGACGTTACCTTCCTGTAAACTCAACAGTCATGCTCAGCATTGTCCCTCGACAGCCGGTGCCACAACGGGTCCAGCACGAGGAACAGAAGAACGTGCGATAGAAGTCATGCAGTGAATTGCAAATGCTTCTCAAGTTGGAGGGGACAGTCCCTCAAAATCATGCAGCACTCATCAGGACATGCATTAAATGGAAAGAAGAAGCGTGCAGGAGTGCAATAGGACGGGCTACCGTACCTGTCGGGCACGAGTCGGGCTGGATTCAATTGCAGCGCCGCCAACCATCCCTCGGCTACACTTTTATATGGTGGATCAGACGGTGTGCCAACCACAGACAGTTCGGCATTGTAGAAACTACGCATATCTTCCAAACGCTGCCTAGAAGAGACACGGGTACGGTAGCCGGAGTGAGATTCTTTCGAGCAGGGAAGTTGAGAAAATTCAAATTACGGCTGGAAAATTCTTCAGGAGAAGTCGGATCATTCCAGTAAGAGTAAAATCGGGGGTGAGTTATTTGGAAAAGTGAGGGTGTATATGGATGGTTCCAGTAGCTGTAGTTATGCCTCTGACATTTAAACGATCTGGATTAATACAAAAAAAAGAAATCACTGAAATAATTAGCTTAGGAGTCAATAAGTACAGTAGAAGTAGAGAAAATCGTTTCGATTTCATTTCATGTAACGGGAATTTATCGTTTATGGTGTTGAACTTCTTTATTCGCATGCGTTACTTTGATTGTATTATATTTATATTTGATTTATTTATATTATCATTTATCTTTGATTTCCCATCATCAGACTCCTTGGCAACGGATAACACTTTTCCTTATTCATTTATAGTTGAGAGTGTGCCCGCATATTTTTTTGTTATAGTTTTGACAGCGCTAGCTTCCTGCTTTCCCCTGCGCTCCCACGTTTCCGTGACTTTGTAGGCTCACTGCAACGTTCCAATTTTTCACACTTCTTAAAGATTGAGGCGATTAAGGCTATTGTTCGATGACACCGGAAGCTACTACAGAAGAAATCCTACTACGCCTCACACCAAGCAGGTCTTACTCATCATTTCGCTCACAATGTTAGCCATAAGATTGCAGAACTACAAAAATCCCGTTACAGAAGGAAATTAAGTTGCGGCAAGAAGGGGCGGAGCAATATGAAGGGGGAATGTATGGGGTCCGTTGTGTGCAATATACAGGGGGGGGGCCAAAAAAAAGTCATTTTGCCTCCATGACTTTCAAGGCGCTATAAGTTACACTTTATTAAATTTTTATCGGACATTTTTACTACCATATTAAAGAGCACATTAAATACTATAATGATACTCCGCCACAGCCTTCTGGAGGAGCGCCATCGAGAGATTCGGCGCGCGAAGTGAGTGGGTACCGGAGTTGAGCGAGATCGTTGATTTCTCCGCCACCGTAGACCACCCTATTGAACTCCGCCCGAACCGGGTAATTGAGGGGATACAGGTCAGGTGACCTACTTGGATATTCTACCTTCTTTAGGTATTCAGCCCCCTTCCATTCCAAGTAGGCGGGAGTTTTTCCAAAACCCTTTGATTCCATGTGGTGGCACCCAAACCTGTAGCAGCACAAGGTCTCCAAGAAGGTACGGGCGACCACATGTAGGGAGGATATTCTTCTCGAGTTACTTGATGTAACCGCCAGCGCTCACCTTCAGTCGGGGTCTACAAAGAAAATATCGGTCTTCCCCTTTCCAGGTACCCCGGTCCATACCATCAACTCGCGCCTCGGCGAATACGGTGAAGATGATGTCCTAGACCGTAGCGACGTTGCCGTAGCTGCTCGATGTGGGAGGTCTTGCAGATCAAGAGTACTGACCTCCAGGTAGCTATCTGTGGATGACTTCATTCAAGAAGTTTCGCAGCTGTTTGGAGGCGACGTGAATTCCAAAGGTGTTCTCCAGTCAGGCCGCGACTGGAGATGACTTCATATTTTGGCGTACATGAAGGCGATTGGCGGCAGCCTGCTCCAGCTTATAGAGGAAGATCTTGGGTATCTTCCACTCTGGTACTCATATCCACTTCCCCTGTCTGGGCTGCGAAAACTTCGTTGATATGTGGCTCGGCCGAAATGACTTTTTTTTTGGCCCCCCTGTATGCGGTTTGCGCCAAGATTAGCGAAAAAGACCGCTCAGCGGAGGGATCTCCAAAAAATCTTTTCATCAGTGTGGGTGGCGTGCGCAGCTGTGCCGCTTACAAAGTACAGGGCTTAGAGTCTCGGATCGGCACGCTGCTTAGTATTAACAAGCATTCTTATGCCGGCCATCAGTTCCGGTCTGCATATGGCACCGGCATTCGTTCTAGGATTCTTAATAAAGAACGCGTAGCGCAATCTGTAAGTGATTCAGTAGTGCCTAAAACAGTATTTTTCACCTTCTCAAATGATCCGTTTCGTTTTTTATTCTCCAGTAGAATGTATACCCTGTTACCCCCCGGATTGAGCTCGTTTGCACACATCGGTCCAAATATATGGGTTACCCACTGATTTCGAAGGTGGCTTTAGAGGGGTGTCAAATAGGTGGAGCCCGGCTACATCCTCCAGAGGGTACAGCAAGCAATATGCATGGAAGTCATGCGCTGAACACTGTCCTTTCAGATTGTAGTTAGAAAAACCTATCGAAGGAGCCAATCCAAATGAGCAAATGCGATACTGACCTTTCGAATAACTCGCTATGGGACCGGATAGGTGAGTGCATTTCCATGCGACTACAACTACTTTAACGTCACTTTGATTCTATTCCGAAGTTACTACACTGAAAGCTAAGAGGCAATAGAAGCGCATCTAAACTACAATTATGGTCATCGAAATTATGGAACATTGAATAGCGGCAGTTTTTCCAAAGGAGACTTCTAAGCCCTCTAACCCCCTTCTCTTATCCGTTTGAAAATGGCCACTAATAAGCAAAGCATTGAAGTGCAAGTGTTCTGTTGATAAAATCAAATGCAGAAGATAACACATATTTGTCGGATCTAATGGACAGAAAATGAAAGGTGGAGTGATAGTGGGCTTACTTGTTTTTCGATGCTCCAGTAGTGACTGGCACCATTTTTGAGATCCTGCACCTGGATGGCGACCACTGTTTTCGGGTATGGTCGAAGTGTGAGATCCTCTCCCGGTGGTAGCAGATCCGGTGGTAGAGGGCTAAATATTAAGCAGTAGGTAATAGATAATTAGGTATCATATTGTACATTAATTACGAAATGTCGTGATTTTCAAGCGCTGGAACTCGGCAAGAGAAGAATGGTAGTTGTTTGACCCGCTTTTGACTTACAAGAAGGGACGGGAAAGACCTACAATGAATCGCGAAGATTGCGCACATCAATAATTTGCTCCGACGCCGATGCGCCGTGCGCGGCGGTTTACGATTGTCTTGACTGTCGCTCTCGTAGCGACGAACTGTTCTTCAACAACTGTCAAAGGGTGCAAGCGACACAATTCATGAAAACTGGGCGCGCGCGCCGGCCAAAGTCCGATTCGCTGCTCCCTTCGCTGACACGCCAGTTACCCGGACCAACAGACTGTAAAGGCCCGGATTAAGACTGCTTGAAACTTCTTTTTCGGAATTTGAAATAAGATGAAAATAGAAACGCGTGAACGGGGACGCATGAATGATATAAGATAAGATAAAAAAAGATAGATACATGATAGTAGGACACTGTAATAAAAATTCCCACCTGTACATAGTATCAGTCAACAAGACGAACTGGAATTGTACTTTCTTTTTCAACTCAACCGAGATGGCATTTGCCTCCTTCACGAAAATTGCGTTACCCCACAGGTCATCTCGAACCTGAAAAGCCGGAGATCCTTCGTTCTGAGAGTCCATTTGAAATTGAAATATGTCTTTCAAAAGTGAAAGAACAGGTTAAAATAATTAATAAAAAATAAAATAATAAAGTTATAATGAAATAAGTAAAAAATCGATAAATCGCCAAAGCGAGGTCTTTCTGTGAGCGAAGTTAGATTATTGTAAATCTGCTACCTTTACTGATTCTACGTACAAAGGCCCTAAGTCTACTACAAGTTTTCAGACTGGGTTCCTACAGTCGTAACCATCATCATACAAGAACACCTAATTCTGCGGTACCTCACGATTTTCTGGTGCACTTCTCTGTTTGTTGCTTAAGCCCGCTCCCACGACGATGTGACCAGAGAGATTCTGGTGCTGCCTGGCTTGGAAGCTTCTTACAGCGAATCGTGATTTGCCGCGCCTTCGCGAGTAGCGTACCGTTTGGCGAGAGAGCGGATATTTTTATGTGGGCGTAACGCGACGATGGGCGGTATATACGCTCCATTTCACGTGTTTTTGGCCATTTCCTATAATGTTTATTTGCTGCCATCGCTGGCAATACAGAGCATCGAAACACTTCAGCACCCTTAGTGGTAATCCCTTTCCGTTCCATTGATATTCAAATTCGAATGAGGGGCATGAGAACTCGTCTCGGCGTCGCTCTACATGCCTACAGGCGCTGCGAATCACAATTCTCTTGTCATTACCCGACTGGTTCCTGCAAGCCGTTCATAGCGACCAAGAACTCGGGAAACAACCAAGGTGTAAGCCTTTATGAAAGGTTGCCCGAGAAGCCTTCATTGATGCTCCATTTCGGCAACATGAGGTTAGGCCGGTTTTAGTGCGAAAACATAGCGAATTCACGGATTTCCGAGGACCTTTAGCGAGAAGTGGCATAAAAGGCGCTGGGTTCCACATTCGTTGAGAGAGGCATGTGAAGGAAAACGAACTAACAGCATGCCTTGACATCATTGAACAAAGAGCTTTGATTACGACGTTTGGATGTTTTTTTGTTGATGAAAATCACTGGTTCCTAACCACGCCGGAAAATAATCTGCAAGCTTATCTACAAAGTCCTAACAATGATGTAGGAAACTGAGGAATTGAAAAAAGAAACTCACCGAAGAACTGTGTATCGCCATTTGATGGCAGCTTTTCTGGCCACTTTCTCTTGACCGGTCGTCCATTTGCACTCTTCAGCTGCAAGGAATAACGAAATGAATTTCTATGCATACTGAACCGTGAAACGATTGAAAGCACGTCCCGGCTCAGATGACTTGGAACAGTATCGTCTTAAGTATCACGTTACCGTCGGCGCAAGTCTGTCGTGCTGTGTAGGTGGAGGAGGGACGGAAGAGTGTCGGGGGGAAAAGCCGGACGCAAGCGGACTGGTGAAGAGAAAGGAGGGGGGGGGTAATTCCGTCACTTCTGGCACGCCCCACTTTATCGCGATGATAAAAACTCGTGCGTGAAACGGTGAGCTCCATGCAAAATTTGAACTGCATGAACACTGAGGCAACAGCTCAATTCAGAAAGAATGGAAATTTGAAGCCACATCGTGACGAGCCGGTGCACGGACGCCAGCATTCCGGGCCTACGCGGATGCTGTGATGTAAAGATGTAGGGACTAAGCTATCTTTCCTTGCTGTGAATTTTCAGCCAAACCTACTTTTGGAGAAAGGTTTTTTGAAAATCAAGCATGATTCCGAAAGATTGGGGCAGTGAAGGGCAAACAGTACAAAATCGCTTTGCCTTCACAGTAAAGCAGGCGCTGAGTAACGACATCCTGAACAGAACAACTAAAAATGCGAAGGTTTTAACCTACCAAATTCCATCAATGAACTGGTGAGGAATCGTTCTCCTTCCCATCCGGATCCGCACGAACTGATCATGGATTGAGCCAAGTCGACCTGCCTCTGTAGACTTTCAATGCGGGTTTCATACTCCTGTAAATGGTCAACTAGCCATCTAACAAAATGATATCAGGCAGAAAAAGTAAAGAATAAAGAAAAAGACCGGACGCTTAAGTCTGGCGTATGCATTTTCACTTCGAGCTTCGCTCACTTCACGTCGGTATGGCTTCCAATTTCAAGTATTTTCGTTTTCCAGTCATCCCGCCTTCAGATCGATGCCCTGCTTTTCCAACAGCTCTTGTTGGGCATATTTCCAATCGAGAGGTTGGTCTGAAAAGAAGAGAAGCAGCTCTTTGGGTCAAGTGCGGGCAGCAGAGGCCTTCGATGAGGAGCTGAGCGTTGCTTTGATTGTATTTCCGGTCGTGGGCCAGCAAACTCTTCTGAGCGTGTGGAACGAAAGAAGATGGCAATACGCCCCTCCAAATGCGTCCTGATTGCAGGCCTTATGGAAAATGGCTAAGGCGAAGCGCACCAGTCTGGCCGACATATGCTTGAAACGAATTTGAAAATTCGATTGAATAAAAGGGCACCGGAGAATCTGACGCCCTTCATTCATTTTACTACTCACATTAATATCAAATTGAAAGCGAAACACAGTAGGCGACACAACAAACAAGCAGACTCATGGGCGTTTACGAAATTTCACGGCAGGGGACTTTGTTGAGCTCACTTAGTTTCCGCTTGTTGAAATCTACACTGCGCTGGTTTTAATCGACTTTATGATTTTTCACTATGATAAGAAAGGTCAAAGCCAGAAAAAGTTCTTTCGACCTCAAATTTCAAATGTGCTCATCTCAGCCCGAATAAAAGAGTAGTTTCGAGACTTTAATCCCCCACTACCAACAAACTGTTATTTAATAAGTTAGTTCATTTCGCCCGCGATATCGGATATGGATGGATATCTGGAGATCTGAAGGCGATCGAATCGCTGAATGCCGCTGCAGCATCATATTAGCGTTTTGAGCGTTTCCTGCCTGATTGTGAGGAAGCGCTCAAGGTGTTTGAAAAAGTGGAGGCCGCTGGGGGATAGGACTGGAGAGTATTGGTGGATGCGGAAGAGACCAGTATCCCGGCTCGTTCACTTTCTTTGGGATGGGTTATATGGGGCCGAGTGTTGTCGTGGAGTGCAATCGTCCCCATCGTCCCTTTCCTGCAGACCAGGGACCGGGCTCATGAGATGAATTTATGGCGCATTTCGTCGTTTGTACCAGAATTCAGCTATTATGGTCTCAGCCGAACTGCTGAAGCTGTTGTGGATCAAGCTGCAGACCACCAAACAGCCCCCATGACCTTCATTCTATGCAGCTCCGGCTTGGTGAGGGAAGATTTTGAGGGGCTCAGTTCTTGCCCACCTTTGACCAGATCGTCTCCGGTTGTCGTACATAAAACATTTCCCATCACGCTTCATAACATGGGAACGAAAAGGGACAGTTCGGTCGCATAGCACTACAGCGGAAAAGACATCGAAAAGGTGATTCTTCTGATCCTTTCTCAAATCGTGTGACACCCTCCTCCGACCATCCTATCTCCTGTTTGTGGTACAATGGTCCCGCATGAAACCTTCGAAACATTCGGGACCATATCCTTCAAAGTTGCTCTCAGTTGTTCGTTGCCACCACTCGATGGCCACTCATCACCCTAATCATCTCCAAGGCTCTCATTGCCATCAAGAAATTTCTCAAAGCAGCGCTGTGCAGAGCGTTCGTTCACCTTCGCCTCTTTGAAATTCCAATCCTTTCCGCAGCTTTGCTGTTTATTTTGAGTGGGTATAGCAAAATTAGCGAGTCTGTCTTTGCCCAGGTTAGTTTCGATCCTGCTCTTCTCTGAGAACCAGAGAAACCATTCTGACCACCTTCGTCAGGGAGTCCACAGCGGGGGGTCTTGTTTGGTCGATGAGGCGGTCGTATTCAGTCTGAGAAATTTTTTCGATTGTCAATTTTTCTTGTTCCACGAACGCTATAAGTGGGCGTTTGTTCGTTGTTGGAGAGAGGTGGCAATTGCCTTAAAAGAGGAAATTTGTGCATGCGTGCTAGGCAGAACGAATCTCCGTCGGTCCATCTTCGGCAGTGTTTCCCCTTTCCCCACCCCCCCTCCCCCTCCCTCCAAACACAAAAGATTGCGGCGAAAAACTAGAAACAGTCTTGCGAAAAAAGTTTTGGGACAAAGAGTGTACAAAATTGGTCCGAGTGTTCGGAAAAATGGTGGTGGTGGGCGTCCTGCCAGAGGATGTAACCGGGGAGTGGGCGTACTTTACGAAAATGCCCACCTATGGCACAGACGTCCTCTGGAATCATTCACGAGCAAAATCGATTTTGTTGTATAGGCGAAAAGTGCGCTGAAAAGATATAGAATGTGATAGCATTGTGAACAAAAAGTAATTGAACTAGAGCCATCAAAAGACGTTAGACTTCCTTCACGACCTACTAAACTCAGGGATTTTCATAGATCCCTGACGATTCATTCACATCAAGGTCCCGACTTCATAAACACATACCGCTCAGAGACGATAAATTGTGCCGACTTTGCCTAGCCTCCTGCGGATCGTTGTACCGGAACACGTGGTAGTTGCCAAGAATGACGCGTGAGCCGGTGTGCAGTATAGTGAGACTTTTGATTGGACGTCCATTCACGAAGCACTGTGCATCCTGAAAATGCTCATCCTCTATGCATTGTACGTCTCCTAGAACGCCGGAAGGATTAGGATGACACGCTTGTTCCTGACAAGTCCCATGCCTAAGAAACAACACTGCCCATTCAGGAAATCGAGCAATAACTTTAGAGGGGGACTGAAGGCAAGAGAACGGAATGAAAACGTCAGGTTTGGTATATTTCGGTGCAAATCAGTTCCTCAACAAAAAAAATTTATTCCGCAGATTTTTGCTTCTATTTTTCAAGTCAGTTTAGAATATTCTAAAAACAGGTTTACGATAATGGAATGAATAGAGAAGCTTCATGAACTGAACCGACCTTTTTTGGATCGAGGCTTACACAGCCGTCCTCGTTCACAAAGTCGCAGTGATGCTCTAGGATCGCCTGCCCAGAAAGTAAAATGTCGGGACGTTTCGTGGCTTCCGGGCGTCCAACGCTGAAAACTTATTGATGAGCACTAGGGTCCACATAAGGCAAAATGAATTTGTGCAAGGAAATTTGAAAGACAGATTTCCCCTTGTTTCTCTTCCCTCTGTGTGTCTATTTCACCGACTCTTCAGGACAGCTTCAAATGAAATTCATATTGGCCATACAAGACAAACTGCACACTCACTTCCGTAGATTCTGATGCTTGCCATGTAAATGGTGAATGGGTCCGCGACTGCAGCAGCGTCCCAATTTCTTCGCTCAAAAAGACACGGAACAGGGCTGAAGGGTAATGACAGCCGGGTGCCGCTCCTGAATTCCGCCCGCGCTGTCGCCTGACCGGCCACACGTCTAACCATAACCAAGCGAACAAACTGTCTGC